GATATTGCTGCAATCATTCTATCAATTATTACAAAATGCCATCTTCAAGATCGGGCATCACAATGAAGGCTAAAGGATACGACCACAATGTCCCATAAAACATTTGCCTCTCCTTATTCTATTGGATGTTGTAACTTGCCTAAGGCCCAAACAAGAAAATAAAGGAACTCCTATCTTCATTGAAGAATCTGGCATTCTTTTACTTCCAAGATATACGGATTTAAAACTGCTTCTTTTGCCATGTTTTTCTTCAGGTGGAAGTTTATGCATGTGGGTTTGTCTCACAAAGACATCTTCCAAAGGGCAAGGAAATTGTATGTACAACTTGGATGTAATAACAGCACAACATAATTGGATAGTAGTAAGAATGGTAGAAAACTATCTTTGAAGCAAAAAGCAAATTCTGAATTAATAAAATAAAGTGCCAAGTCCCAAACTACAGACCCAAACACAGTAATTTTATTTATCTTATTTTGAAAAAAAAAAGTTAAGTGGTTTTGGAAAAGGAAGAGATAAAAAAGAATGATAAAGATGACTAGCTTTAGTTTTTACATATAATGGCATGAAGGAAAGCATGTCCTGTGGAGTCTTGGAAAAGAAGCTGTCAAGGATGTTTCTGCTTAGAAAACACAAAGTAGAGATTTCAGAAATTATTCTGATTGTTTAGACACGGCAATTTGGAACTGGCAGGAAAGCAGGAGAACAGAGAAAGGAAGAAAGGAAAGTATTGGTTAAAAAGATTGGCACTGTAGAGTGAATTCACTGTGTATTTGTTAACTGTTCCAGTTTGAGAATTAAGATGCTTTGAAAAATTGTTATAACTCTAATACTTTGTCACAGGGATCAACTCCAAGCAGCTCCAGATCAATAGTCTAATGTTTGTTTAACCTAACTATTTCCAACATATTGATAACTGACTTAGTTGTTGCTTAATGCATTATATAAAACCAGCCACGAATATCATAGGAAAAATGAACTGCAGTTGGTTTGGGGAAACCGAGTTCTACGGTGTTGTGTGTGTATACTGTGTTCATTGAAGTGGTTGTCCTCTGGCCATGTGAAAATCATGCTCTGCTTCATGCAACATGTGATGGATCAAAGCAAGCTGTTCTGGTTAGGAGGCCAGGTCTATGATTTTCAATATAAATATGCCCCAAAATAGAAACTGTAAATAGGCACTTATATATATTTTAGTGATGGTGTTGATTAAGGTGATAAAATAATTAATAATACTTCTATTAAAAGGAAGTAAGTAGTACAAAATACTGAAGACCAAATATAATTGTGTCCTTTGGGAACACAAGAAATTTGATGGTGATCATGACCATGAAGAAGATCAATTTTGAAGACAACAATAAAATGCCTTCACCTCTTAGGATAGGTCTTCTGGTTTTCATTTCTTTTGGAGGTGAAAATGTTCCCTTTATGGAAATGGTCTAACAGATGTGTTGTTCCCTACTTATCCCCACCCAATTCTTATTGTCTCAGCAGGCAAGTGAATTCATTCCTAAAGCGGGAAAAGTATGTAAAGATAGATACCATTAGGAATGACAATGTCAAACTCTGACAGAATGGTTATGTCAAGCTCAGAATAAATCTCTTTTAACACAGAAAATCTGCTTTGTTTCTTCTGGGGCTGTTAGATTGCAATACTTATCTCCAGTGAGAAAAATTGAGAGCAAATTTTCAGAAGATAAATAGTAAAAAATATTTAAATAAATTGTCCTAAACATAAATGCTGGGATTTGCTTATTAAAGAGGAATTTTCGCCCGAGAGACTTTCCACATGATCCTTCTATTTTACTTTCATATGGAGTCTATAAAGAAACCCAGAAAATCCACAAGGCTTTTTGATTGATCTCCAGAAATAAAACAGGACTGAACTATCAGGAGACACTAGTCCTGTGTTTTCTGAAGTCTTTGTGGGAGAAGAAGCACTGTTTTCCAAGGCTACCATGTTGTCAGTGATGCCTGAGCTTATCCCATAGGGTTATATTCCAAACCAAAGGCAAAATTATGTTCCTAGGAAATAGGAAATGCAAATTGTAGAAGTTTGTTTTTAAAATAAATATGTTTTCTCCAAAAGCTGACTTCTGTCTCCATTATCAATATGTAAATCTGTTAAAATATTTTAAAATATTTCATTTTAAATATTTTCATTTACTAAATGATAACTCCTGTTTTCAATAGAGATTCAGTTTGCCCACTACTTGAATAAAACTATTTATCAGTTTAACATACCACTCCAAATTATGCTATATGATTGAGAAAATTAATTTTCTTGTTTTCTTTCTGTATCTATTATGAAATCTCATTAAACTCATAGCATTGTTTACTAGTAAATTTCCCCTAAATTATTCTTTTTATTTACTATGTATGAGAGATCATAAGACTTGAAAGAATGTGATTATCATTTAAAATATGGACCAGGATAATTGGTAATGCTCAGGGCGCCACTCTTCTACCACCCTGTCATTGGGAGCCATTGTGAATGATAAAAATTAAATGTGTAAGTGAAGAAAACTATAAAAATTAAATGTGTAAGTGAAGAAAACTAGAGCAAGTGAAGTGCCTGTTCAAAAACTGCTGGTCTATTTCAAACAAAAAGGTTGATATTCTCAAAAGGCTCCATTCTGTCCCTCAGGGCTATGGTCCATCTTGTAATAGTATAATCAAAAAGCACTGGCGCTCTGTTCTTACAACTGCATTCAGCTGTGATTAATCTTCTCCACAGTTTATCCCGGTATCCTAATGATTCTAACTGCAACCAACTGGGCACAGTGTCACCTGGAAGGATGTGTGATTAACTCAACGTGTCATGTTTTAAATCTCATCGACCATGGCCATGTCCTAGTGAGTTGTCTTTATCAAATTGGTGGCTCAGCAGAAGTACGTGGCTATCTTGTTGGAGGAAAGAAACATCAGTAAATTAGTATGAATGTGCTACACTGTTTAAATTTCTATTTCAACATCTAAAAAAAAATATTTGGGAGGACTGAAAGGTAATAACGGGGGATTTATAATTACAAAGTTGCTTTTAAAGCTTCACAATTATGTTTCTAATTAAAATGTGATATAAATGGTGGTTTTGTTTGTTTGTTTTCTTTTTTAAGGGAAAAGGTTTCTTTTTTAAGCCTTTGGCTTCCCTGTTTGGTTTTCTTTAAGTAAATTTCTTCAAGAAATTACTACACATTAATAAGAGCTAGCAAATATAATTGGGATAAATTTCTCTGAAAATATCAAGAAAATGAAATTTACAAGAAATTCATTGCTCTTATGAGTTGACTGACCTAACCCTTATGCAATGAAAGTCATTTCTACCTAATACTAAGTTACATTCCATTTCAGATTTCCTATTTCAAAGGGTAGCTCAAATTTCTAAGATGTTAAACCAAGTATTGAGCCATTTTTGTATATGTAATAAAAGTCTTTAAAATTAAAATGGTAATCCTAAAAAAACCAAATGCATGAAAATATGGTCTGACTGTATAACAAAAAAGAGTTATATAATTCTACTTGAGTGAAATCTTTCATCTTTGATTTACAGGTTAGAGTCCTCTCTAACTAAAACCATATTGTTCCATATCTTTCATATCATGGCCTTTCCTAAAACCTTGTTTTAATTAAGGTTTCTTTCAGATTTCTGAATAAAAGCATGACAATCTTCACTTATGGCTTTAATATATCCGTTGAGTTAGGAAAATATGTAAAAAGAAACATCAACTCTTTTGAAAGTATTGTCAGGTATTAAATATGCGAGGTATTCTACCTTGGTGTCCTTAGGTGTTTGAGTTACACATTGAAATAGAATTTTCAGAGGTAGGGATAACCTGCTTATTTATATTTAGTAAATTTCTTTGAATCTCAGAAATAAGTGTCCTTTGTTTTAAACCTTTGCAACTAAGGCAACATGTGCAAAGGTTAAATTTTGTGTTTGTTTTCACACGAAGGCACAGCTTCTAGGTTAACTCAGTTCCTTCATTAACAGTGCCTTCATTAACACATTTCCAAATCTAGAACATTCAGTGACATTGTTTAAGCCATCTTGCTTCAACAGTCTCAAAGCTAAAAGAACACAATCAGATAATGCAACAGTGTTAATCTGAAAAGTAAACAAAATAAATGGAAAAACTCAAAGCCCCTGAGGAATAGGGGAGATTATGAGTAATTGCCAGTATTTCTAAAAGAAGGAAGGATAAAAGGTAAGGGGGAAAAAAAGAAGAAGATGAAGCAATGGAGGGCAGAAAAGGAAAGGTGAGAGAATAAATTCTTGATAGCTTTGGAACAAATTAAGACCATCTTTGAAAAGTCATGTGCTTTTTTTCAAAGACTGCAAATCTTCAAGGGAACACACCTTTAGAACCACTGTCATCAAGACAAGGAAGGTATGCGGGGAGGGAGACCTCATCCTCTACAAAATTGCAAATCGTCCCTGCCTGAGAACCAGGAGAGGGATGCTAGGGAAGTAGGGTAATTTTCCTCAAAAAAAAAAAAGACATAAAATATTGCACCATTACATACATATGTGAGTTTCCTTTGGCATGTGGACTTTGAGATACAGCATGGTTGATTCCACTGAGAAAAGCCTCACCCCAGGTCCTCCATCTTGAACTCTTGCTAGGAAGAGTTGAACCATGTGTTAAAAAAAAGGCAAAACACAAAAACAAAACTAAAAAAAAAAAAAAAAAAAAGAAGAAGAACCACGGCGATCTGTCTGGAATTGCTACCCGTTCAAGACTGAAAGCAGATCCTGGAAACAATTTAAGACTGACAAAATTTACCCAATAAAAAAACTGATCAGAATGTTAGGAATGAGTATGTTTCAGGTTTTTGCCCTAAATTTCACTGGCTGTTACAGCTTCTGAAATTAACAATATCTAATATGGTAATGGATGTTTCTAGTTCATACTTTGTCTGGGAGTGGGTCACCCAGCGTAATAAAAGCGCGCTGGAAGCAGTTTCTTCCAATCATGGTTTACTGTAACTTTAGAATCACAGCAGTTACGTTTCAGGAATCTTTAATGCCCTTTCAAGTCCATCCAAAGAACAAGTGAAGCTGCTGTTCAGAATTTTGTGCCCAGTGTTTATGTTCTATCGAATCTGTGCCACCCAGGCAGCAGACAAGACATGTCTGAGGGTGCTGGGGTGGGGGCATACACAATGATGTCACACACAGGAAATATTGGGGGAGACTTGGCACTTCACAAGGCTGGCTCCTCTTCCATGGGCTCACCAGCAGTTCTGTAAAAATAAACAGGCAATCAGAATACGGCATAAGAGTACACAATGACATTGTAGATTTTCATGCATAATCAAAGCTGATTTTTCAGCTCTCTCTGATGTTTATTTGTGTTATTCAGTTATCCATAAATAGAGTTTCTTTCCTAGGAAGTATAAACAAATGTCAAGTGGAAAAACATTTTGGATCCAAGCAATCATTGGAAATGTTCCTGTTTATATTAAAACATGTCAGGATATTTTATAACTCTAGATTCCAAAATGTACATGTTTTGTGTCTAGTACAGTCCAATAATTTATTGCAAAAATTAACTACAATATTTTATTTTAGGAGCAATTGCAGTGATTTCCTATGGAACCAGTTTGCTAATGAGAGCTAAGGACCTAGCTAGCTTCCGAAGGAGACTCACCAGGGCTCTGGTTTTTGCTTCTGTTCTTTCATAACTGGGTTGGCTGCCTGCCGGAGGCATTTCAAATCAAATTCTGAATTTGATTAGCAAATAGCTGCTACAGAACCAACATTTTATAAGAAATGCACTATGGTAGTGTGTAAATAGTTTTTATTCGGCATCATCTGTGGGGTGTTCTGCTCGGGCAAAACCAAAACTAATTGCTTGAAAATTTATACTTCAGATTTAGCCTTAATTTAGTAACACTTTGAGGGTGTTTAAAGGCAAACTTTTAGAATGATTTTTAATTTAGTCAAAAGAACAAATTGTAGCAGGAATCCAAATACATGAGGTAGTTGGATTGTGGGGGGAAGTTGGATTACTGGGATTTGAGATGCCGGGAGAACTGAGTTTGAGTCTGAGCTCTGTAATTTGCAAATGTTGCAATTACTAATGTTGTAACTACACTTCTGTGAAGCTATGGTTTCAGGCATAAATCAGAGGGAAAAGATGTTCCTTACGGTATTAGTGAAGGCTAAAAAAATAATAGTAAATAAAGAAGGATGTAAATAACAAACGTTATGAGACATTAGTTATTTGGTGTGTGGATTCATCTCTTCATCATCTACAATTTGCATTAAATCGAGTAGAGTGACACACAGATACATGACACACAGTGTCATGCCTGTCCTACCAGAGGGGAACTCACTATTTGTACGTTGGTTCTTTCTAGCTGGTGGGATAATAGGTACGCTGTTTTCATTTTCTTTTCATAGTGTTTATCTTCTTGCCAATGTTGTATAATGAATCACTTTCATATTAGGAAAAAATGCTATGTTTGAAACACAGCTGTTTATGAAGACAAATGAACTAGTTAGCCATGTTATTTTTTAGATTTATAAAGAAAAAGTTCCAAGATTTCAATGCATCTTTAAATAAAGCAGTTGCTATTTTAGCTGAGAATTTTTTATTATATATTTAAAACAATGAAAGTAAGATATTATCCATGGAGTGGTAATAAAAAAGATTTTAACACATCCTTTAAAGAATGAGAAACAAAAGATATTCATCATTTAATGTTAGCAAATAGAAAAAAGTTCTAAAATAGTCTGTGAAGAGTACTAAAAAAAAAAGAAAAAAGAAGAAAAAAAAGAAAAAAGTCATTTCTGAGGAAGTTATACCCTGTCCAAGAATGTTCAGGATACAGAGGCTGTGAGAAAGTGTTTAGACTTGGTATAAACACTTATACCAAGATTAAAGCTAGCTAAATGAGTCATACTTAATTAAAATCCTTTCTATCTAAACTGATCAGCACTCCAAGAAGAAAAATTTAACATTTAAATTTTGAAACAAATTTATGTGCAAATATACAAATTTATTTACATCTGAGAATATGTGGACAAAGAACTTGTAGAATACTCAAACTGAATACTCTAATGCAAACTGAATTGTCCTAAATCTAACCAAAGCCACAGTGAGATAATTTCCCCCCCCCCCCCCACATACAGGACTTGGGATTCCACAGAGAATGGGATGCAGGAAATATCCCAAGGGTCACCCACGTAAAGGATCTCTCTTTCTGGTGCAGAATCTGTGCATTCCTCACAGGTCCAACCTTGTTTTTGAGGGTGTGGGCAGGGTGTCTACAATTTTTGTCACTCACTGGTGAAAACTGAGCCTCTTCTGTTGGATCACAGAGACTTGCAAGTAGAAAACCCTTCTATCAGATATTTCTTTGTCCCTAACCTTTAAAATGATTTCCTACTAACTTCTGTCTTGAAGGTAGTCCATTTACTGTTGCACACCTTTTACCGAATCACATCCACATCCACACAACTGACCAATTCTTTCATGTCTTGCAGCTAGATGCATTTATACATAGCACGTTGGAAAATAGCTCATATATAAGGGTAGATGATCTATCTTCAAGTTCCAGCTCTGTCACTTTCTACAATTTAACTTTGAGCAAGAGTCAGTGTCTCTAGATTATCTAGATTATCTATTTTCTCTTCAAAATGGAAATAATAACCCCTTACTTGCCCTTAAGGGTGTGGGAATCCAATAAGTTAATGAAAGAGAGCGTGCTAATGGATCATACAATGTTAAACAATTACAGAATAATTGCATTACATGTATCTCCCATTGCAAAAATTTGTAGAATCTCCTGTCTTTTATTCATAGCTCTCAGTGCAAGAGGCATGATCTTTTCTTACTACTTGTCTCTACATAAATATTTCCTATGTTTTCATGTTTTTAAAGAAACACGTGGAAAGTGAGTTAGTGAAGGATCTCTGTCTCTTTAATGGCTGTTTTGGGGGCGGGGAAAGTGAGAAGCAATGCTCTGGAAATGTGTGGGGGGGATTCCCACTTTACTCATCCATAGAGCTATGCTCAGTTTACCTTGATTAATAAAAACACAGTCATGGAAAAGGATGGAGGAAGGGAAGACATGCAATTTCTATGTCTTTGAACTTAAGTTCCCTTATAAGCAGGGAGGTAGAGACAGTAAGCTCAGAGATAGCTGTAAAGTAAACCCACCAAAGATAAATTTTAGTACAAGAGTTTAACTAATTGAAAGACAAAAACTTCTACTACTACAAGCCTGCCTCACAGGGAACACAGACAGTTCTCTATCAATGAAGAGCAAAAGATTATTTTTACAATAAAGGGAAAGATCCAGTCAGTTCAGCAATCATAGATTAAGTTAGTTTACAAAGGTAAAAGCAGGAAGGAAAGATAAGGATAGAAAGATAAAGCATAAAATTAAATTCCTATATTTTCCCTTAAATTGATATTTAATTTTCTATGATTTAAAAATATATTTGTTAATCCATACTAAGATTGTTATTTGGTAGGACATATTTCCTCTTATTATGTTTATTTAATTTAATCCCTGCATTTCATTTTTCCTCCTCAAAGACAAGCAATCTGATGCTTGTTGCATAAATTATTTGTGTTCTTTAAAGCTATATATTATTGTTTTATGGCATATCTTTTTACTTTATGTAAATTTCATCTTTATACACACATGCATCATTTCTGTTTCTTAATTTACTCAATACTATATTTGTTAGATGCATCATTCATATTTATTTAATCTGTAGCTACTAACCACTACATGGCATCCCAGTGGTTTGCATTCATATTTTAACTATTCATTCTCACAGTAATGGACATAGGGCTTGACTCTAACACTATAGCCATCATGAATAAAGCTGTGGTCAGTCTCCTAGCACATGAACTACAATGACTCCAGATGAGAATATCTTGGTATACATTTCCAAGAGCAAGATTACTGGGTCAAATATTTTGTTGTACACTAAATGGTGTTAAATTGTTATCTAGCATACTGCCATAGTTCATCTTCCTATATCTGGGAAGGTTTCACAGCCCCACAACTGCAATGCTAGCACTACCCAGACTACTGGTCTACTGATTTCTCTTGCTTACCTGAAGTACTGCAGATTGAACCCAGGAGTGCTCTGCCTCTGGTCTACATCCCTAACACTTTTAATTCTATTTTGAGACAGGGTTCTTGCTAAACTACTAAGGCTAGCCTCAAACTTGTGATCTTCCTGCCTCAGCCCCCTGAATAGCTGGGATCACAGGTGTGTGCCATTGCCCCCAGCTCTTTCCATAGACTCTTGAAATAGACATAGAATGTTCACTTTGTGCCCTGGACCTCTTTCAGGCATTGGGAAGACAGCAGTGAACAAAGCAGACAAAAATCTCTATTCTTATTGAATCCCTGCTCACATTTTAACTATTCATTTTCCCAAAAATGGACACAGGGCTTGACTAACACTGTACCATCATGAACAGAGCTGTAGTGAACTTCCTAGTACAGGAGCTCCAGTGACTCTACACTGACCTTATTATCTTCTGTTTACCATCTAATGTACATAAAATAAAACTTGTTCAAATTTGCATTTCTTTGATTACTAATGAGTTTGGGCATCTCTTTAAAGGATTTGTCTTCCAGCAAACCACACAATGCAGAATAAAAAGAGAATCAAAGGACTCTCGTAAGTATGTGCTATGATATGTGTCTGTCCTGCAAGTTTCTTTAATTTGCTCTTTCCAGTGTTCATGAACTCATTTTATACTGTACTGTTTTGTCCTTACGTGCTTTATGAATTATATTTTATGTTCTTTCTCTCATTTCTCTCATTTCACTTTTCTTTTTGTCTCCCTGCTCTAACCATTTTATATACCTAGTAGACATTCCATAAAAACTTTATGAAATGTTCATAAACATATGTTGGGATGATTTTATAGCTCTTTAGAAGTAATATAAATCAAGAATAGAACAAGAATTTTAGCAAAGGATAGAATTTCCCAAATTATTCTTAGTTTAAACTACAATTCCACACCTGAATGTGTGATCTGGATATGTATATAAGGATCAAATCACAAAGGCATGCAGGAATCAAAAACAAAATGAGAGCCAATACACACATACACACACACACACACACACACACACACACACTCACACACATAACAATATTACCATATGGTTGGCTGCAAGTTTTTGTGGTGAGTAGTCATAAATTTTCTAATAGTTCCCATTATCCAGTCGTATCTAACTTGCTTTATTAGTTCATTTTCTTT